CGTCTTCGATGACGACCGCGTCGGGGCCAGGATCGTGGGAATTGCGAACGGCCTACCTCCGAACTTTCACCCCGACCTGCCCTTCGGCTCGGAGGAGTTTATGGAAGCCCGCAAAAAGTGCAATGCTGAAATGCTTCGTCGTTGCACGGCCCTCTGCACGGCGAAAGTGAGGAAGGACATTAGCCAGAACACCGAGGACTTCTGCCCTTACATCATGAGGTCGCAGGCCCGCAGGAATCTGCAGAAGCTTATCCCCTACGTGCCCTTGGATTCTGATACTTTCAACTTCTCGACATTCCTCCATTGGATTCAGGCCAATAGCCCGTACCAGCGGGCGGAATACGGGGCCCAGGACGAGTCGCTCCCGGCGATGATGCGCAGGGTGGCCGCTACCATCGCCGACCCTGGTCAAGCCCATGTGGAGGTTGACGCGGCGATCCCGGAATTCAAACCGGCTTCATCCAGGGCGATATTGGCCCTCGCCCCAAGCACCGGGGTCTCCAGCGAGCAGGCCCTCAAGTTCACGCTCGATGACCTCAAGGCGTTCCAGGTACAACGTCTACACCAAAGCAGGGGCTTGAAGACGATAGAGTGGGCGCTCGATGAAAAAATCCCTGGTGAAGACGACCCACCGGCATTGCGTAATAAGTTCCAGGCGTACCGGAAGGCTTTGGACGCGATCACCGGCCAGAAGGGCAAGGGCAAGGGAGGTAAGAAGAAGGTTCCGGCTAATGTGCTGAAAGTGTTCAAAGAGAAGGTCGACCAATTGGGCTTGAAGTTTGACGACACCAAAGCCGGAGATATCGCGCAACTTCTGGCCGCCGTCAAGGCGCGAGCAGTCGACCATGAGATTTGACTACAGGCCCGAATGCGGGCCCAAGGGGACGGCGCATGTGGTGGGATTTGGGATACGCATGTCGACGGGATGCCGTGTGTTTCGCGTTGCTCTGCTATCCGGTTTTGCCTCCTATCCACACTGGCATTGGTCCGCCGTGCTCTAGAGCAGCACTATGCTGCCCAAGTTTTGGATTGGAAGTGCATATTTGCCCTTCATTCAATCACCCTCTCTATCATGTCCGACTTCCTCATGGCCTCCACCACCCAGTACTTCAGCAAACTCCGTTCTTTGGCATCTTCCCTGCCGGGGTCCACGTGGCCGCCTTCCGACTACCTTCTGGAGTCTGGGTTCGTGGTCTACCTTATTTGGAGTCCGTTCCACAAGTTCTTCTACATAGGTAAAACAATAGACTTTCGGGCGAGGGTCCGTCGTCACCTTCATTGCTTCCTCCGGCCAGGATCGTGCCGCCAGCAGCCATATATGGTGTTGCTGTCTGCTGTATTCCGTGGACATGTTCCAGCGGCTGCTTCCTTATGCTTCGCGCCCATTGCCCGTGCCGGGTCGGACGAGGAGTTGTTGGAGCTTGAGCGGCGCATCATTGCATCGGTGCACCCACCGTTGAACGAACCGTACGTGCACAGAGCGATCCAGAGGCTGTCAGGCTCCAGGGGACGCAAACGCATTTACGTTTCGGGCCGGCCACCGACGCCTCCAGCCCGTTTCACACAGCAGCGCCTGTTTGCCCAGCAAGCCCTCCCTGGCCGGCTAGAAAGGGGCTTATCTTCGTCTTCCTCGGGGGCAGAGGTAGCGCGTATGGCAGCCGGCGTTTGCAACATGCTCGGGGCACCGCGGTCTGGCCAACACCGTCGCCGCATGTTTACCGCTTCACCGAGCGAGTTTTTCGCTGTCTGGCATTGCGTTCATAGCCGCATGGACGGTATCCCCAGGAGGATGGGCATGTTCTTCTTGGATAGGGTGCGGCGTTTTCGCCGATGGCCAGTCCCACGTTCAACGATCCACATTACTCTCCCGTGGCTCCCTGGTTCAGCCGTCAGGGCCGCAGCGCGGAAGTTGCTCTCGGATGTGATCGTGCATGCGCGCGGTCGTGGCTATGGTATCCTTCTACCCGCTCTGCGCGATCTCCGGTTGGGTGTCGCTCAGGTTTCGGCTCTCACGATCAGGGGCGTCCTCAGGAACGCGCCCAAGTTCTACCGGAAGCTCCACGAGTCGGAACCATGGCCCTGTGTGTGCACATCGTTTCCGGACCTTCCCCGCGCCCTGTCTCCAGATGGCTGTCATCATGTCTTCGCCCCCCAGGCCTCCTGGCCATGGCCCGCAGGTCTCTCGAGGCTCGGGGGGGCGCCGTGCCATGCTGCAATCGTCCCTCACCGGGCAGCGGTGGAAAGGCATTGCGCCGCTTCCGTGAAGGCGGTCATGAAGGCAGCGGGCGTGGATCTTGAAGAGGGCCCTGCAAGCCTCACGACCTCGCGCATGGCAGATTTCCTGCTCACCTCGGCCGAAACCAACGCGCTCGGCTTCGACGCGGTGCGCCGCGAGGACATTTTAGGCATGCGCAAGTTCTTGGACGGCCTGGTGGTAGAGGAGTTCCAGAAGACGCGCCGGGTTCTGGTTGCGGAGTGCCCCCGACGGGTTCAACTTCTAGCTCGAGCGGTTTTCGGGGCTGATGGTCTAGATCACCATTTTCAATACTACCCGGACCTGACTGTCCAGGCAGTTCTGGGGCGGGTGGCCGTCGCCCCAGGCCTCTCTGCGTGCATCCAGCCAGCAAATATCAGCAGGGCTTCGCAGTGGAGGATGGCTGAGGCCAGTGCCCCCAACAAAAAGGTGGAAAAACCAGACGACAGGAGGCCTATAGTCAATCGGTCGCGCTGGCCGACTGCCTGCCTTGACGCGCCAGCGGCCCGCGCATTGGATTGGCTCAGCTCGGCATTCCTGCCCGCCCACGCCAACATCGACATCAACCGCACGGACGCGGCCATCGAATTAATCGAGGAGTTCTCCTCGTGCGCGCCCTTCACGCCAGTCAGGGGGTCGGGGGCGGACGTCAAGAGCTGTTTCACCAACATCCCCCATGCGTTGGTTCGCAAAGCTTGGGAGTTTTATCGTTCAGCGGCCTGCCCCTCGGTACAGGCCGTCCGTGTAGCACGACTGGGAAGGAAAGCGGTATCAGGGCAGGATTGCCTTCCATCCCGCCTCCATGACCAGCATATCACGTTGTCGTTGGATGACATTGGAAGCTTGATTTCCCATCACCTCGAAACGGGTTTTTTCTTGCTGGGTACTCTCGTCGGCAAAGAAGTCGAAGGACTAGCGATGGGTTTTCACTTTGGCAGGCGCTGACCAGAAGGCCCTCACGTTTTTGGACATGCAAGTCTTACTAACGCACTGGCATGGCCCAGCACTCCCCTCCACTGGGCGCCCGAGGTTCGCGTTATACCCCCGGCCGTTCAATGGCGCCACCGCATTGATTTTTAGAGATTGCGTTACATGGAGATTACATCATGCTGTCGGAAGGGGCGCACCCCCGGTTTTGATCGTCTTCCGGGGAGATCGAGTACATTTTCGTTGTCCTGGGAGGCTCTGCCTGGCTGCGTTTACCCCGCTTCCCCCGGAAGCCGAACCACTAGCTTCAAGCTGCCGGCGGGTTGGACTTGTTGCCCCAGCTCGACGGCACTGATCTGCACCGCCCGTCCACGAAGGCGTGGGGGCAGGCACGGGTGCATTGCCCTTCTTATAGCGCGTCCCCAACTCCATCAAGCGTGGGCTCGTGCTCGGGGCGGTCTCCAGGGTACGTGCTTACACACGCCCGCTGGACTCCGTGGAGGGCGTCCTTGCATCCTTCAAGCGTCACCTGCATGAGGGCGCTGGCTACCCATTGTTTGCGCTGGAGAAGTGGATATCTGAGGGATTGTGCCGGGATTAGCGCCCGTACTTTGTGTCGCTGTGGTTCTGGACAGAGGTATGTAATTGTTGCCTACTCCGCGCGTGCTCTCCCTCTTCGTCTTCTTCTTCTTTCCTCCCCTCCTCCCCCTCCTCCCTGCCCTTTTCCCCTCCCTCCTCCGTTCCCTCCTTCCCGGCCTTTTCCCCTCCCTCCTCCGTTCCCTCCTTCCCGCTCTCCGCTTTCCCTCGCGATGTTCTATCGGTGACGAGTGCGCCACGAACTGCCGCCAGGTTACTTGGGCATGGATTTTCCTAGGCATTGGCGGATATGTCCGCGGTGTGCTGGTTCGGCGCATTTGGGTTTTCCGGCTTGCGGTGATACAGCCGTCTGCCGGGCAATAATTGTCACAGGCGACCCCCTTGTGGTTGAAGTCAACCCTTCTCGTTCCCCAGGGGGTGGGTCTTCCGCGGGGGGCTTCGTCGGGATTTTGCACCCCACGGGAAGGGAGTGGGAGGGAACGGGATTCTTCATAGCCTTCAATTCAAATCCCACGAACCTCGGGCAGTACGTGCGGCCCGGGGGGAGGCGGACCGCTCACCCATCCCACCACCATACGGGGGATGCGAAGACCCTGTGAGCGGGACGGGGTGGGCACAGGGGGGCCACCAAATGGCATCCCGCACCCAAGTCGTGGCCGTCATGGGCCTCTTCTTGGGATGAGGCACCAATCGGCCTCTCGGATGGGCACCACACGCCCGTCCACAACCAAAGGAAGCGCACCACTTGCCTTCCGCATTTCTTTGGCAATTGATTGCAACACTCATGGACCTTTTCATTTGTTACTTCAACCTCTCTCCAGCGGATCCGTCCGGAAACGGTGCCGGAGGCCGCTCTGGGCTCCTCTGGGCATCCCCCCCTCTGAGAGATACGCAGGAGTAAGCTTGAGCAGCAGCAGTCTCCTGCCCGTCTGCCCTGTCCGTTCCACCGCCACCCTCGGCTCAAGGCGAGGGAGGGCGGGACTCTTTCTGACAGAGCCTGGCTGTGCCAGGCAGACCGCGCACACGACAGCGCGGCCGTTCATATCGTGGACAAAAGGTGTTCACTGACAATTATCACGATAATTGACATCTACACACACTCTTTCTTGCTCTTCCTCATCGTCACCAGCGTGAGCGATCTTGAGGACGAGCTCTAGTAATCAGATTGGTAGCGGAGCCTGTGGTCTCCGATAACCACGGGTTCCCACCGGTCTCGGCCTGAATGGCGACTTCAGCCGCCAGCGGGCTACCTACGACGCGCGTCGACGTCCCCTCATGGAACGGCGAGGCAGACAAGTTGACGAGCTACAAGTTTGAGGTCTCCATGTTCACCAAGAGCATCAAGACTGCGGAGCGCTACGTGTGCGGCCCGCAGCTGGTGCGCGCCCTCGGGGCGCGAGTCCGGACTGGAGAGCTGCCCGGACATCGACACGGTCGACGAGATCGACAAGGATGGAGTTTTGATTGGTTGGAACAAAGTGTTTCAGTACGTATTGGAGAAGCTGGACTTCACCAGCCTGAATGATACGGGCCTCCTCGCGGAGGAGTTCTTCCTGAAGGTCAGCCGGAACTCGGGCGAGACCTTCCAGGACTGGGCCGCCAGATTCGAGAAGAAGGAGCGGGAGCTGTTGGTGCAGCTCCAAGTCATTGATTCCAGCGTGACGGAAGTGATTGCGAAGCCTCTTCGGACATGGTGGTTCCTTCGGAAGTCCAAGCTATCCCCTGTTCAACGTGGAGAGATCACCGCCACTGACCTCAACTTTGGCAAGACATACAAGGCCTTGCTCACGCGCTTCCCGGCGGAGGCGCTGGCGGAGCTCGACGGCAAGCAGCACCGTAAGGCCTTCTATGAGGACACGCCCGTCGACGACGTTGAGGACGAGACTGGTGGGGAAGATATTGATTTCACAGAGGTTGTCGAGCAGCTGATCACCCTCGCTGAAGAAGATGAAGATGAGGAGCCAGCTGACGACAACCCAGCGGACAACGAGGTGTTCGCAGAGTTCAAGCAGGTGGGCAGGAGCTTCAAGGACGCTCGCGACCTGATCCGACGCCTTCGAGTGTCCCGCGACTACTACCCGGTCGTGTCGCTCAAGGACCCCGATCGCGTGCCCCCGCCTCCGAACCCGGGACGAGGCTTCCAGCGTGGCCGTGGCAAGAACGGTCGAGGCCGCGCTCGCTTCGACACGGGCAAGGGGCGTGACATGTCCAAGATGAAGTGCATCGCGTGCGGCGAATATGGTCATCGAGCGGCGGACTGCAACGAGAGGTTCAAGAAAGATAATACGAGAGATGGAGCTCGTGGGACTACTCACAACGGCTTCGTCCTGTCCGCCCTCGACGAGTACCTCTACCTCCTGGAGCGCGACGGCATCTGGGCGATCCTCGACATCGGGGCCGCGAAGAGCCTCGGCGGCCTCGAGAGCGTCGAGAACCTCATGTACGAGATGCTGGACCAGCACGGCCAGGAGTTCGAGACGACACATGACGAGTGCTCATTCACCTTCGGCGACGGCCTCCAGAAGAGCTCGATGGGCACGGTGAAGGGGAACGTGCTCCTCGGCGGCGACCTGACCGAGGTCAAGCTGTCGGTGATGCCGAACCGCGTGCCGATCCTCCTGGGCATGGACATTCTGACTGACTCGCTGAAGGTTGTGGTCGACTGCGGCCGGAACTGGATCGGCCTTCCGACCATGGGCAACAAGGTGTTCTTCTGCGAGCGCCTCTCGAGCAACCATCTGGCCGTCAACCTGACGACGCCGCAGTGGTGGAAGGAGGTGCCGCTTTCCTTGCCGAGTGCCGGGTGCCTGACGTCCGAAGCGACGGCGCCCGATGTTCTGGTCGAGGAGCTGCCCGAAGAGGCCGCTCCGTGCAGCTGCTGCCCTGCGGTGCGCTAGGGACAGCGCCCCCTGATGATGGCAGCAGAAGAGAAGTTATCTCGATTGCCAACTTCATCATCGGGGGGGCCACACCGACTCGGTCACCGCGAGTTCGAAACACCTACCAGAGCGACGGAAACCTCGGCGGCGCGGACACCTACCAGAGCGACGGAAACTGCGACACGGAGCGGATCGGCTCGAGCGACGGAAACCTCGATTTCGTTCGGACGGGCGGTCATGTCATCCGACCGGCTCTCTTCATCATCACCGTCGATCGGGACATCATCACAGTCAAGAGGACCGTTAGCAAGCAAGCCTCAGGATCAAAATATGGAAAAGCAAAGCGATGAGCCAGCACAATACCATCGGTGTTCATCATCATGCTGTTCGCAGCCACCTCCGGCTCAGTTCATCAACTCGGCAATAGCCTCAACCAGCAGTCTTTCACGACCTCCATATTCTTCCCAGGCCGCCACTGGCCGCTTGGATGACATGCAGCGACGGTTTTTTTTTTTTTTTTTTTTCTTGTTCTTTTCTTTTTTTTCTTTTTCTTTTTTTTTTTTTTTTTTTTTTTTTTTTTTTTTTTTCTTTTTTTTTTTTTTTTTTCTTTTTTTTTCTTTTTTCTTTTTTTTTTTTTCTGTTTTTCCTTTTTTTTTTTTTTTTTTTTTTTTTTTTTTTTTTTTTTTTATTCTTTTTTTTTTTTTTTTCTCTTTTTGTTTTTTTTTTTTTTTTTTATTTTTTTTTTCTTTTTTTTTTTCTTTTTTTTGCTTTTGTTTTTTTTTTTTTTTTTTGACGGTTCTTTGGCTGGGGAATCCTCGGAGCAACAGCCGCCACCTGTGCCTGCGGCCCGCCCCGAGTGGGGCCGCCCTCGCACGAGGGGATCGACAACTTCGGCTCCAGCGACCCCGACGCCAGCATCAGCAGCAACACCAGCTATTCCGGCGCTACCAGCGAAGTGGTACAACCCAGCGGGGAAGCGCGGCTGCTGCGGAGCTCTGGGGAAGACCAAACGCGGGTGCAGCTGCTTCGAGGGCAAGAGCCACCAGTGCCTCAAGACCTCACAGCAGGGAGCACCCGGGACACCAGCAGCGGCATCAGCAGCGGCAGCCAGCAGCGCCCCACCGAGTCCAGCGGGGGCTCAGCCAGTGACGAGACCTCCGAAGTCCGCGTGCTCCTGCTGCGGGACCCTCGGGAAGACGATTCGGGGGCGCAGCTGCCGCGGAGGCAAGAGCCACACGTGTACGAAGGCGACGGAGGTGACCATCCGGGAGCAGGCAGTGGCTCTACGCTGGCGGCGCCTGTCCAACAAGCTGAACTCCCCGGAGGTGCAGGGGGGCTGGAAGTTCACTCCGGAGATGCTCGACGACTCGGAACTGCCGGAGATGGACTCGAAGAGGAAACGCTGAAGCATCTCGACGACCAGGATCTCAAGATGTTCTACGAGAGCCACGACAAGGTCCTGGACGAGATCTACCAGACCATCGCCGAGGACCTGACGGAGCTCGGCAGGCCCTACCGCATCGACCTGATGGAGGTGTGCTGTCCGGAGGACTCGAGCCTCAGCAAGGCCGTGCAGGACCAGGGAGGCAAAGTGTTCAGGTGCGGCCTCTTCAATGGGATCGACATGGGAACGGCAACCGGGCTTCGACGCGCGCTTCACCTTCTCCGACGACTCCGACCGCGCCGCTTGGTTCTCAGCCCGCCATGTACAGCAGACTGCCCGATCCAGAATCTCAACCAGAAGACAGCTCAGCAGAAGGCCACGTATCTGGCGAAGGTGCGCAAGGCCCGACGTATCCAGCGGAACTGCAAGAGCCTCTGGGAAGACTCGAAGAAGATTCACGACTGCCACACCGAGCTCGAACAGCCAGCTTCCAGCCGAAGCTGGACCAGGTCGCCTTCGATCAAGGCGATGCGCGACCAGATGCACGAGACGATCATCCATGGCTGTGCGTATGGACTTCGCGAAGCTTTTTTTTTTTTTTTTTTTTTTTTTTTTTTTTTTTTTTTTTTTTTTTTTTTTTTTTTTTTTTTTTTTTTTTTTGTTTTTTTTTTTTTTTTTTTTTTTTTGTTTTTTTTCTTTTTTTTTTTTTTTTTTTTTTTTTTTTTCGTTCCGGCCTGCTGATGAGGAAGGCATGGCGCATATGCTCGACAGACCCGGAGTTCGGCGCTAAGCTCGGCAGGACGTGCTCCAACCGCCCTGGCAGGGGCGACAACCACACACACCGCCCCATCGAGGACGGACAGGTGGTGGCCCAGACGGCCTTTTACCCACCAGCACTGTGCAAGGCCTGGGCAAAGCATATCCTGAAGACGAACACCAGCGCGAGGTACGGCAAGGAGATCTTCACCAGCTTGGAACAGATCCCAGAGGACGCTGAAGAGGAGATGGAGGAGGCCCTCGACGAGGACCTCTTGCAGGATACCCCCGAGGCCATGGACGACGAGTCGGTCATGAAGGGCCTGGGCATCTCCGAGACACCGACCAAGAAGGAGGAGCTGGAGATAGAGCAACGGCTGACGCGGCTCCACCGCAACCTCGGCCACCCGAGCAACAAGACGCTGTACAAGATCCTCAAGGCATCGGGAGCACCTCTCCAGGTCCTACGAGCAGCTCTTCGCCTCCAGTGTCACGCATGCCATGCGGGACAACTACCAAAAGCCGTCAGGGTCGCCTCGGGCATCGAGTTGCCAGGCGTCCTAGAGGTGCTGGCCTCCGACGGGCTCGAGTGGCTCTCGCCGAAGCAGGACTCCTTCCTGATGACGTTGAACATCGACGAGGGATCCGGGCTCACCAGTGTCACCTATCATGGACAGAAGGGAGAGCGCAATGGCAACATATCGACTCAGGAGGTGATTTCAACATGGAATGACTGGTGCGGACATTACCGCCGCCCCAGCCTTCTCCGTCTGGACCCCGAAGGTTGTCATCGTTCACAAGCAGTGGCCAGGTGGTGTTCGGACCGCGGCATCGAGCTGTGGATTGCCCCGGGCGAGGCCCACTGGCTGATGGGCAAGGTCGAGAGGCGCATCCAGCTTTTCAAGCGACTGATGACGAAGCTGGCAACGCTGGACCCCGACTGCCCGGTCGAGGAGTTGGTGTCCTGGGCCGTGAGCGCGATCAACAGCATGGGCAAGGTCGGCAACCACTCCCCGTTCGAGCACGTGATGGGCGTCTCTGGGATGCCGGCCTCGAGCAACCCGTTCGCCATCATTGACGGGGACACCGGGGGGACTCAGGAGCAGAGGCGCCTCCTCGCGCGCAAAAGCTTCCTGGAAGTAGAGTATGCTGAGCGTCGTCGACACGCCGAACAGGCCCGCAACCGGGTCTATCAGACCTGGAATCCGGGGGACCTCGTCTACTTCTGGCGCAAAGGGAAAGGCCTTGACCCTCGCCCTGGGAAGAAGGGCGGATGGTACGGCCCTGCTCGTGTCCTTGCTCAGGAAAAACGACACGTGGACGGGCGCACCCGTCCTGCCTCGGTCATCTGGATCTCCCACGGGAGCGTGCTCATCAGGTGCGCCCCGGAGCAGCTGCGCGTCGCCTCGGAGGCAGAGAAGATGATCGTCGAATTGCAGCGGCAGAGCAACCTTGGCAAGACCATGACGGAGATCTTGGAGACAGCCAAGGGCGGTACCTATGAAGACCTTCTCGGACAAAATCCTCCAGACCTCCGAGAATACGAGCCTCCACCGCAGCCGACGATGGCGATCCCCGCGACCGAGGGCCAGACTCTCGAGAACAACAGCGAGGCGGGACTCCCCTCAGGCGCCGACAACGACACACCCGGCGATCCTGATTCCTCCAGGCCACCAACACCAAGCTCAGCGACGCAACCTGAAGTGGAACCGAGTGAACCAGATGTCCGACGGTCCCGGTCACCACCGGCTCGTGCAGCTGACCGGTCAGCAGCCCCATCACGAACGCCAGGGAAAGCATCTACCTCAGCGGCAGTCAGGACGGAGTCTCGAACAGCATCGCGTCCGCCTCCCGCGACCTCGACCTCATCGGCGGCCGGTGCCGCATCCCGAGGCGAGTCGAGACTTCGATGGCGCATGACACACCGCGGACCAGAGCTCGATCTGCACGTACCGCTGGAGAAGCGACAGAAAGGCGCAGACGAGGAGATGGCCGACGCGCTGTTCGACAGCAACCACCTGGTCGACCTCTTCAAGGACAAGCTGGACATCACCCTCGGCATCGACGAACAGCAGACCGTCTACTTCGAGTACTTGCAAGACGAGAATACCACTCCAGACGGACGCCGAGGTTTGATGAGCCACATCCTGGACAGCTTCGTCGTCAACCAGCGCCGGAAGGACAAGGTGGAGCTGACCTGGTCCAAGATGAACGCCACCGAGCGTGAGGAGTTCGAGGCAGCCATCGCCAAGGAGACGAACAACTGGATCCAGCATCAGGGACTCCGCGCTGTCCCGATATCTCGGGTCAGGGACGCGGCGGACGTCATCCGGGCAAGGTGGCTCTTCACCCGCAAGTCCGATGGGAAGGCGAAGGCCCGGCTCGTCCTCCTCGGCTACCAGACGAAGGACCTAGGACAGGAGCCGACAGCCAGCCCCACCGCGTCTCGGCGCGCCCGTCACGTGATGCTAACAGTGGCCGCCGCGAACCGCTGGAAGCTCATCAAGGGCGACGTCACCTCCGCCTTTCTGCAGGCCCACGACCTCGACAAGGACCTCTTCATCGAGCCAGATGCCGTCCTCAGAAAGGCCTTCCACGTGCAGGAAGGGGAAATCCTCCAGGTCGTGAAACCTGGATATGGGATCGGCGAGGCGCCCCGGCACTGGTGGGAGACGGTCAAGCACGACTTTGCGAAACTTCGACTCCAAGCCTGCGAGTTGGAGCCCTGCCTCTGGAAAGCACGATGTTCCAGGACGGGTATGCTCATCGGTATGATCATGGCCCACGTCGACGACTTCATCATGGCAGGAGATACCTCCCACCCTGAGTGGCAGGACATGGTCAAGCAGATCCGAGGGCTCTACAAGTGGGGCACCTGGGAGGACATGAATGACGGGCTCACCTCTCTCGAACAGTGCGGCGTCACCATCGAGGAGAGCGAGCAGGGCTTCTTCCTCCACCAGAAGTCGTACATCGACAAGATCAAGGAGGTCAAGGCGGCCAGCGGCAGTAAGCATCGGACCACCGACAGCCTCCAGGACTCTGACAAGACGGTGCTCAGGGCGTTCTGCGGCGAGATCTACTGGCTTGGCGTGAATACCATGCCATTTCTCTTATCGTGGGTAGCCGACCTCCAGATGAAGATACCATCAGGTACTCACAACCTCTTCACGGCCGCTAACAACATCGTCAAGCTCGTCAAGCAGAGCCGCCACATGGGGATCAGGATCTACCGGCACGCCCTGGACGACCTCGCCATCTTCACCTGGTGTGACGCAGCCTGGGCCAGCCGCCCGGATGGACACTCCCAGGGTGGTCATATCACCGCTATCTCCTCCAAGGCGGCCATGGACGGGAAGCTCTCCGAGTTCACGGTCCTCGACTGGGGCTCCAAGAAGCTGCGCCGCGTGGCTCGGTCAAGCCTGGCGGTGGAGGTGCAGGAAGCCGGCGACGCCGAAGGCGAACAGAGCATGGTGCGACTGGTACTTGCCGAACTTCTACACAATATGTCTCCACTGCAAGATGCCGCAGCAGCACTACGACGATTACCGGCCATCCTGGTGACGGACTGCAAGGCCTTCTACGACGGCGTGGTGCGATCTCAGTCGGCGGGACTGGGACTGGAAGAGCGGAGGACAGCCATCGAGGCTTTGGCTCTCCGCAATGCCTTGGACGAGGGTCAAACGGTCGTGCGCTGGGTTCACTCACACGCACAGATCGCCGACGGCCTCACCAAGGCAAGCTGGCAGGCATTCGGAGTGGTCCGGGCCTTCCTCGAGAAGCAGCAGCGGCGCCTCATCTACGACGAGCACTTCATGAGCGCTCGCAAGCGGGCAGCTCTTGGCAAGGGCATCTTCGACGAGACGGACCCGACCGACCCGGCCTC